TTTTTTTGAGACAGAATCTTGCACTGTCACCCAGTCTGGAGAGCAGTGGTGTGATCTCAGCCACTGCAGCCTCTGCTTCCTGGGTTCACATGATTCCTGCCTCAGCCTCCCGAGTACCTGGGATTACAGGCACGCGCCATCGTGCCCAGCTAGTTTTTTGTATTTTTAGTAGAGAGAGGGTTTCACCATGTTGGTCACAATGATCTCAAACTCTTGACCTTGTGATCCATCCACCTTGGACTCCCAGGTATGAGCCACTGCGCCCAGCCCTAGTGTTCCATTCTTAACAAGGCCTGCCCTCAGGAGAAACTATTTTACCAGAGTCTAACCTGCTGGAGTTTTAGCAGAGCCTAACCTACCCTAGGGAAAGGAAATACCCAGCTCTAGCCTTCCACCAAAGGAAAGGGAAATACTCCAGCCCCCTCTAGCCATTCCATCCCATGTAATGTGGAAAAAAAAATTAAGAACTAATGAAGTTCTTAGTCCAGAAGCACAGGTTTATCATAACTTTAAGATTATGAAATGCTTCTCTTCCCCCGACAGCTTACCACTACATTATGAAAGGCAGTTCCTTTTGCCCAGTACATCATGTCCACCTTCAACATAAAATTATGAGGTATAAACAATGAAAACAAAAACAACAACAACAAAAAACAGTGTGAAGAGACTGAAAAAGCATCAGAATCTGAGATATGTTAGGAATGTTGGAATTATCAGTCCAAGAATTTAAGAGATTATGACTAATATGCTAAAAGTGTTATTGGGAAAAAGTATACAACATGCAAGAAGAGATGGATAATGTAAGCAGAGAAATGAAAAGTTTATGAAAGAATCAAAAAGAGGCTGGGCAAGGTGGCTCACACGTGCAATCCCAGCACTTTGGGAGGCTGAGGTGGGTGGATCACACAGTCAGGAGTTTGAAGCCAGCCTGACCAACATGGTGAAATCCCATCTCTACTAAAAATACAAAAATTAGCTGGGTGTGGTGGCGCAGGCCTATAATTCCAGCTACTCAGGAGGCTGAGGCAGGAGAAT